ACACACACACACACACACGCACACGCACACACACACACGCACACACACACACACAGAGAGAGAGAGAGAGACAACACATGCACGCACGCACACATACAGCACACACACGTTGCATGCATGCCTTGACGGCCCGGCTTCAACGTATTCAAGTACGATGCACTGGAACGGAAATATTAAAAACTAGGGTCTCCGGAACGGCAAAAATGTAAGATCTGCATGGTAACTAAACTTAATGCTCTGGAACGGCAAAAATGTAAGATCTGCATGGTAACTAAACTTAATGCTCTGGAACGAGATATTCTTAAAAATGCGATGCACTGGAACGGAAGTTTAGGGTTTAAGGGTTGAAAATGGGGGTCTCTCCCGCGGCACATACCTACCATGCAATATATATGGAGTGCCCCCCCGACCCAGCACGACCCAGTTAAGGCTCAACAATGCAATGGTCACGCATGTGCACCGAGACATGTTAGACAAGGTAGATGAACAGGATGTAATTTCAGAATTTGTTAGTTGCCATCCAGGCAGAAAAGATCAAATTGGAATAATAAAAATATAAAATGACAAGTTATCTGACTGGACTGACTGGTATTACTATTAATACTGATCAATTAGAGGTGTTATATCAGTGCTCTAAGATTTGGAATGTGTATTTAATATGACAATGTGCCTATTCAAATTCAAACCTCAAAACATACAGATGTACATAGTGAAAGTATAAATGCAGATTGAAAATAGGCTGATTTTTCATAATTATGTACTGATAGTATATATACAATTTTGTAAATAATGTTTTATTAGTTATCATACTCATAATATATAATTTAGATACTTTAGTGAAAACATCAGCTTTAGCAACATTCCTCTTTGAAATTTACAAATTGACCTTTTAAAATGATCAGAATTGGTTGCTTTTAACATAGCCTGAAAATGCAGGAAATGCCATTTCCAGGCTCTACATTTCAAAATGTTTGGGCCCCAGACCCCCCGCATCGGCTACATATTTCTGCAGTGGCACTTTTTGGGAGGCCACTACAGCCCTGGTAAGGGAACGTTGCAATGCTCCAGTTACACTACTCAGATCACTCACCGAACCTCTACGTCTTGCGTTTCAGAGGGAGGAACGGGCCGCGGTGGCCGAGGAGGTGGCAGCAGAGGCGGCGGCCGCTCGACCAGCAGAGGGCGTGGCACGAGCCGCGGGAACAACTACGGGAGTAACCGTGGGTCGCAGGGCGTGAGCCGCTCGCGTCCCAAGGTCGGCTACAACTACAATGGCCGCCGCACGTCTTACCGCACCTCCAGCTGGAGTCGTAACGTCGCCATCGGACTGGTGGCTTACACAGCGTACAGGAGCAGCTTCCATCGAGGCCACCACAGTGAGTCGACGCGAGGCGCGTGGGCGGGAGGGGGGGGGCGAAGCATGTCCTGCGAGCGCGCAGCATTTTTCGACGTACGGAATGACGAGTTTCGAGAATTTTGCTTGCAGCGGTGCTGATATTGGCATACCTGTCAATCCCAGGGCTGTAGCTAGTGGGTTGAGGGGGGGGGGCAACCTGTTAATCTCATTGAGGATTTTCAAACGCTGTCTTATCTTATTGCATGGATTAGGATTAATGTGTTCGGTAGGTGGCCTGAGTTCGTGGAATCGAAATCATGTAATTCATTATCAAGTCACGTAAGTATATGTGCTACGTGGACCAGTGTAGACAAAGTATAACTACGTTTTGCAGATATGAACACACTAGTGCTAGCCTCGCTCAGAATGAGTGTATTGCACTGATTCTTTTTCCGTTACCCTATTGCCAACACCAGGGTGTTCCGAAAGTCCACTGGCAAAATTGGTATCTCCGATTTATATCGCATTTTTCATTTCTTGCCCAGTAAACAACCTCTCATTAGCATGACTTTTAAGAGAAGTTTAGATTCTCTCACACTCTTTGTGTGCGAAAAATTGGTGCTTCCCCTCCGTGTTTCGAACATTGTTCTCGCTTCATATTCAGGCGGGCGAGGGTGGACGACATGCGTCAACTACGAAGCCGCCCAGGAGTCTACGATCACCAACGTGACGTCGTATTTCGGCAACGTCTCGAGGACGGACATAATCATTGAGCGCACGACGAGTTCGCGTCCCGTCGGACGGTTCGTCTGTCCGCAGCCGTTCATGCCGTCGTCGTACAAGTACTGCTGCGGCGAGTCCAACCAGCAGCTGTGCTGTAGCTTCAGCAACGGGTACGTATACATTCTACGTCGGCGCGAAACTCCAGGCGGAGGAGAGCCCCGGTTGGTCGTTACGCTTCGTCATGCTGCTCCTCCTAGTGGTTAGATGGGTCCCTGGTCATCTTTTTTTGTGGGAGAAAGACGAGGGGCGAGGCGCTGCTTGCTGTATTGGGGTGCGCTGGGATTGGTCGAAATTGGATCGACATAGGGCAAGTTCGAATTTGCTTCCTTTCTGTGATGTGCAGAGATGTTTCAGATGGTAATGCGTGCAGTTATTGCAGTCTGCTAGCATAATATAAGAGTTGTGTCTTCAGTGTGTAGCTTAGTATTGCTTGTGAGAGCTGAAATATTGCAAGTCTTCAGCAGTTTCTCGATCAGTTCTGGCAGAAGAAAGACTCAGTGTTTGTGATGTGATCATAAGAGTTGTCTGTTGGCAATGTTTCAGGTCTGGACGCATGGTGGGACTCATATTTGGACTGATTTGCATTGTTTGCATCGCGGTTGTGATTTGTGTCGGATGCAAGCGATATAGTATGTATTTGTGTTGTGATTGTGCATACGTGCGGATGTTATTGATACTTAAAATAATGTGGGAATGACTATAATGTAGAACTGGTGCAGAAGTAAGATTCTAGCACGTACCATTATAATAGTTGTGAATTTGTGATCAATCGTTCAAATTTTGCATCCCACAGTATCTGCAGCAATCGTAGTTTATTGTACCCCACATGGGACATTAAAACAATTATTATTGATGTTTGAAATTCGAAGGAATCGAGCATTTATTTATGTTCAGTACTATAAAACAGTTATGCATTATATGCCAAGTTTGATAGGATCTGCATCGTAGTGTATTATGCGTGTTCTGATCTAATTGTATATTTATTTTCAGAAGCCAGAAAAAGAAGTCGTGATGAAAATGAATATGTAATGGAACCAGTTAAGCCTGCGAACTATCCAGCCCGGCCAAATATGGGTATGTAGCCAACTGGTCCTAGAAATAAGTCCGAAAATCCACCCAATCCCCATTTAAAAATTTCAATTGCTACTCTATAGTAAAATCCATAGTAAAATAGTAATCCCTATAGTAAAATCCATGAAGTTAGTCAGTGCTGCTCAAAAGTACCAGGTCAGGAATGTGGGATGGCCTGCCTTTCCAACACTGAGTAAATTCATTAAAGCTATAGAATATTATGCGAGAGAGATCACGTAGAGTGTTAATGTGTGTGAGTGTCTGTGCATGTGTGCAGGCGTACATGTATGTGTGTGCATGAATGCGTAATTACATGTGTGCCTGTGTGTGTATGCATGCCTGCGTGCGTGAGTGAGTGCTTGTGCTATTATTTTTTGCCTTTTCCCACAGAAAAACCGGCTTTATAGTCTGTAACAACTGCTTATCAGTGAAAAAAATACACGGGGGCTCGGGGCGATTTAGCCCCCGAAATGGCAAAAAGAGCCCCCGGAAATGCCAAAACGAGCCCCCGGAAATTTGCATAGAGTTTAATGCAAACCAAATTTTAGAGTGCTATTTTCATGCACGCGAGCTTGAAAAGTAGCCACCGAAAAATAAATTATATTTTTTTCCCTGCTGTTTATATATACACAGTCGTGGCAGTCACATCACAACAGTGTTGCATCTCACTGAAGCTTTAATTTGTTGGTTATCCTACTCTGTAATGCACTGCCCAATAATGCGTACGTTACACAATGCATTTGTTAATCTCGTGCATGAGTGTCTGCTCTTCAGTTAGCTGCTGAATTTTCCTGGACAATCAAAATCCAATGTTATATACAATGCATGCGTTACTGACAAATTTGTTGGGTGTAGAGGTATAACAGATAACAGATAGTTGGTTACATTAGACAAGCGCGATGTACAAATGTTTGTGCTTATAAGCTATCTGCCTGTGTTAGTGGTGAAACCTAACTGCATGATTGCTGGATATTCTGCTTGTCTTGCATCTGTAGGCGGTAGTAGTCGTTCGCCTGAATTTACTCCGCTTAATCAAGTGGGAGGTACAGGACAGCATCCTGGAGTAGCAAGTGGTATGTACTAACTCAAACACGCTGCCCACAGGCAATTAATTATTCATGCATATCTGAGTTGTTAATTCTGCCTTCTTTAACTTTGTGTTCCTCAATGTTTATGCTCATTTATGTTCGTTCAACCTCTTGTTTAATGTTATTTTCTTCCTGCAACTTCCTCTTCCTTATCCAATCTTTTCTCGCATCCTATCACATCCTGCCCACCTACCCTCCAAAGTATTCATCTGCAACCATACATTCATTGTTTACATAACTTTACAAGTACTACTTGGAAACATATAAGTACTACTTACAAGTACAATGTCAATCAATGAGTACATTGCAAATACAAATGTAGAGGATAAAATACAAAAATGTCATGTTCTCAAATGAGGGAAGGGAATCACATCATTTATTATCTATTATGAGAACCATATTAAATTGATATAATAACAAAGACATATTGATTTGTGCTCTCTATCTATCTATCTATGACCCTGTTGTAACTAAATGTCTCCATTAGTATCTGTTTAACACAAGAACTGTAAAATTACTTGAACCATTTTTTTCTTGTCTTTCCTTTGTTTGTTTTACCCAGTGTTCTATTAGTGCCCTCTATCTTCTTAAGTTGGTCTTCACTATCAATCTTAAGACTTTCTATTTTAAATTTTAGGAGGACAGCAAGGGCCGGGATCCTACCAAATGGGACCCAGACCACAAGGATATCCGATGGGACCTGGACAACAAGGCTATCCGATGGGACCCAGACCACAAGGCTATCCGATGGGACCTGGACCACAAGGCTATCCGATGGGACCCAGACCACAAGGCTATCCAATTATCCGATGGGACCCAGACCACAAGGCTATCCAATGGGACCTGGACCACAAGGCTATCCGATGGGACCCAGACCACAAGGCTATCCAATGGGACCAGGGCAACAACCTTACCCCACAGGGCCAGGGCAACCACCTTACCCCACAGGGCCAGGGCAACCACCTACAGCACCAGGGCAACCACCCTATCCCACCACAGCAGGGCAACCACCCTACCCCTCGGCACCAGGGCAACCATCCTACCCACCAGCACCAGGGCAACCATCCTACCCACCAGCACCAGGGCAACTACCTTACCCTATAACACCAGCACAGGCAGCTTATGACCAATCCTCACCAGCAGCACCTCCAGTAACAGATGCAGCCAAAGCGCCATCTAGTGGAGGGCCACCGTAGCCAGTGAATCCTGCACCAGCCGCCAGGGGCATGCCAAGAACTTATGCCGAGGTTGCTGGTTAAATTGACTACGTCACGAATTTTCCATGGTAAAATTTGTAAAAAAAAATTGCCATTTTTTTTCATTAAAAGTAATAACTAACGTTACTAAATATATCCTCAAACTCTCACCTGATAAAAATGTTTTTACGTTGGTGAAATTTGCAAAAATCTAGACGATTTGGTAATTTCTGTTTGTCTAACACTATTCCCCCAGTACTGTTCAGATACTGGCGTCTCTCTGTTTTTCACCGGCAAATTAGGGCATATAAAAAAGATATATAAGCATGAAAAGTAAACAGAAACACTAATTGTATTTTCATACATTTTATTTTGTACAAATAACACACAAATATACTACTTGATGATGCTAGAAATTCGTGACGTAATCACTTTAAAGCATGAACTTAGTTATTTAACTTTAATCTTGGTTTAATAATCAGAGAGTGTATATATATAGGTAAGAGGTTACGATTATTTTAATTTTAAAGTGTTTTCTAGTCTAACCAAGAGGGTGAAGTATTAGTGAAGAGGATATAAAAGTTGTTAGCTCAATGATAGCGGAAGAATTTGGTAGTGTGCACAAATAATTTACAACACGTTATTATTGAGCTGTGTGTTACGTGTAATAAGCATTGTACTTAATTAGATGTGCTGCCTTAGATATTTAATATAAAATTTTTGTGATGGCCCGAGGTCTCACTATGTGTACCAGGTGCCTGAGTGTGAACGTGTGCTCATATATTCCGTTTTATAGATGTTAATATTATAGTCACTAAACTTTATTCTCGTTGGCTGCGTGGTGTGTGTGTGTGCGTGCGTGCGTGCGTGCGTGCGTGCGTGCGTGCACCTGTACGTGGGGTTTTCAGTTTTATTAATGTCCTGCCTGGCACTATTATTATTATGCCAGTATAATTCGTAAACTGTTTCTTCTGTACTTGCAGTCATCTTACACATATATTATTCACTTTAAATGAAATTAATATTTAACAGAACTTCAACATAAATTAAGAACAGATAAATTTCCTCATATAAAATGCAATGTAAGCAGGTATGCCAAGATAGTTACTACTGTTAAATACCGTAGTTATTTTGGTAAGTAATAATGTAATCATGTATCTACAAATATAAATGCAGTTGTTCAATGTTTAAATGTTTTAAAAGTTGGTGGCAGTTAATCATGCCAAATCGGACGATATTTTGTTTTCACTATTTTATTCTAGAGCATCGTAGTGATTATTGTAGTGATTTCTGTAAATTATCATCCCATCTGTCTAACGTGTGACTCGATTACACGTGTGTTGCGATGATAACGTCTCCACCTCGTGTGTAACCAGCTGTGCTCTGAGCACACGACATCCGACTTCATCCTCTGCTATGTAGAGGTTTTTTAAGTGTTCTATAAAAGATAGTCATAGATTAATACTCAATTTTTAAAGGGTGTATTTTCTGAATTATCTGAGACGTATTTTTATTGCTTTGTGAGGAATCTCTGTGTCATGACATAAAAGTCGAACGTCGTTTGATTTATTTTTCTCATAAATTATTTGTACCAAAGAACATAATTTGAAATACGTGATGTGATCGCAATACGTTTGAATGTGTTAACTGTTGTCCGACTGCATTAGTACTGCCGTCTATTTTTATTACTTGGAATGAATGTATGGAGTATGCTCTGAAAACTAATTGGAGACGAATCTATCTAACGTTTTTTAAGTATGGTCATCACTCAGTGCAGCCTCTGCACAAAATGATGTTTATTGTTTTGTGCAAAGTTATCGTGTTATCGTAGTTATTGGAGATTGTACTGTAACAGTCTAGTGTAACTAGTTTAATTAGACTATTCTTCTATTAAGTCTTTATTAAGTCTAAATCTACTCACGTTATATCAACTAAACAGTATCTGAATTATTGATGAGGAATAGAAATCTCATCATGGTAAAAGCGAAATAAAAAGTTCCAAGTATTTCTTCAGTTTTTTAGCTGAAATCATTAAATTATATTTAGATGTATGCCTACGGATTACGACGGCTACGCAAAAATCGATAACATTGTTTGATTAAAATCTAACATAAAATACTCAAATTACAAATAATAAATACACCGGTTTATGACAACTGTAATATGTGACAGCCAGGAACTGTCACAGCAACGAGAGAATCATAAAAACTTCAACAGTGTTTGACCGCCTTTGACGCCGGGCACCTTTTTGTAAGTCAGGTGTCGTTTCTTGAAGCTCATGCCCTCGCTGGTGCAAGCCATATCGCCGTGTTTACTGGGTACTGTGCCCTGCATGTCAACCCAAGCTCCTGCAGTCGTGGAAGCCACGTGCTGTGGGGTCGTAAATGTTAGATACGACGTGAACGCACGCTCGCACACGCGCTCACACATACGCACGCACACACACTAGTTTATACTTGGTATATACGTACTTGATATACGTACTATCAAGAGCTTATAATACCTATACTAATAATAGGTATTATTAGCTCTTGGTACTATCATGAACACATCTATACTATACATATGTATGAGTATAGATATGTTCAAGATAGTGTGTGTATATATGGGGCGCCAAGTGTCGCATGACTGATTTTGTAACGAAATCAAGTCTACAAAGTGATTTCGTTACGAAAGCAACTACTGCGAG